TTACATAGATATAAGAAGATGAGGTATGAGTGCCAATGAGACAACTCTCCATCCAAGTCACAATTTGTAAAAGTAAACCATTATAGGTCAACGTACGGCCTTCAACACGGAGCCTTGGCTCACACCGAACAGCAAGCTATCAAGGGCCCCAAAAATGACTAGTGTAAAACCATTCAGACAGGAAAACCAACAGTGTAATCTTTAAAAAAAATAGAAACACGTATGAACCACACCAACAAACGACTTAGGACAGGTGCAAACAAATGCAGCGGGTTTAAACGTTTAAATAGGTTCCAACCTTCACCCTAACCTGAAAAAATAGTGTAACATCACAACATAGAAAGACACACTATAAAATATCAATTGAAATGGCTTAACTCAATCAAAAGACATATTAACAAAAACAAGTGAACATACACTGAACGAATAAATTTGATCTATGACACAATGTAAATACAAAGTTAATAAAAGAAGTGGGGGTTAGACGTAAAACAATACAAGAAAGACAACCATAACCTTGGACAAAATGCCGCCAATAAAAATAACGTACACAGGTAAATAAAAATAATTTTGTTGTAAGGTATACATGGAGTACGGAAATATTTTTTTTGTTCATAGTACGAGAACAGAAGTGAAAATTTATCGTCATATCAAACACTTATCAAAGGTGGTATATATCAAAAATAGTGAGACGAGATATAACATAAAATAAGTAAACATTAAATAACAAAAATGCATTACAAATTGTATCAACAGGTCAAATTAACACGATTGGATAGTTAGGAGTTAACCTTTTAATAAATATGTATTATGTTTTATATAGATTAGTAATCTCTATATAGAAAATGAACGTGGATGTGTATTTATACATCCCAAAAAAACGTTTGAAAAGAATACAAATTTAGTTATGTTTTAATTTGCTGATGACAAAATCGATATTTTTGCCAATGTAAACTATATTAACAGATCTAATTACAACATTGGTAAGATAAACTTTACTAATAAGTTTGTTTAAAGGTTCGATGAGTTTACACGGTTCACATAGTGATTTCCGCGCTTTTAGTACAATATTACCGTAAAATCTAGGATGTGAAATACCGTTTTAAGGTACAGCCAAATTTACTAATCCAATCTTTGTATCCATGAAAGAATTTAGTAAAAGTACCGTTTTCAATAAGTTTTCTACAGGTACAGCCAAATTTACTAATCAAATCTTTGTATCTATGAAAGAATTTAGTAAAAGTTTTATGTAATTTATGGTAACGAAATCCCTGACTTAATAATTTACCAGAGATGCATTGATTACGTTCGTTAAAACCTATGACATCACTACACACAGAGGCATAACGAACGAGTTGGGATATATAAACACCGTATGATGGAGCCAAAGGGACATCGCCATATAAAAAAGGAAAATTAAAAATAGGGAATCTTTGTTTAATTTAAATGTAAAAAATATGTGTCGCTAGATCTGTTATTGAAAAATTCTGAATGGATTCTTGGATGTACTTATTACAAACCAGAGAGTTGAAATTCAAATGGTTCTTGCATGAAATTGGTGTCTGGAACACATTCATTGAATAAATAATTGAAAAGCATTTGTTATACATGTAGCCTGAAAAAATAAAAATGTCTTCTTAAGATTTTATAGTTAGACCCAAATTTAAAAACTGAATCTTCAAATTAAAAAATAATATCTTTTGTAGAAGCCAAGTGCCAGAAGACAACAATATAGACAATGTTACAATCAGCACATATATGTAACATCAATCAAAAGCTATTAGTTATTTTAATGACAAGTAAATCTAGGCACATCAAAGCATTTTACAGAACGTGCTTTTAAAATTCCAGTTCATACATGAATGAATACTCAAGGGTGGAAAAAATATGTTTCTGCCACACACACACACACACCACCTCCTTTTTTCACTTTTTTTTTTTTGAAATTTGAAAATAAATATACATATACTTTTTGACTTTAGACTATAGGACACCGTAGCCCCCCTTCTCTACCCCCGGTAGCAGATCCAGGACAGGGGGTACGCACCCCTTGGATTGCCAAAAAATATCCCATGTTTCTCACGATTTCTATGATTAAGATTTTAAGCATAACATCGTCCAAAAAAGTTTCTATTACATTCTCTGAAATAACACCCCACCCTCCCAACCCTTTCCTCAAAAATCATAGATCCGCCCTTGCAGTCAGGGTCTTCATCATTAGAAATGAGGAAGGAAAACTGACAAAATGAAAATCGAGTGGTTTAGAGTCTATCAAATTGTGTGGTATATTTGATTTATGTATACAATAAAAATAATACTATTATTATACCTTTATTACTAAAAGAATATTCAATGACTGGTCAAAGTTAGAGAAGTGACAAATATTTTAATGCATGCTGGGAATGTTAATTTTATCTTAAACACTAATATCCAAGAGAGCATATTTGCCTTACAATTCTAAAGTGATATACATGAAGGCCGTACTTTGACTTATAATTGTTAACTTTTTATACATTGTGACTTGGATGGAGAGTTGTCTCAATGGCACTCATACCACATCTTCTTATTTATATTCACAATAGCCACATGTATATATGTATATCGAGACTGCATTGTTGAATGAATATTTGATATGATCAATTTGAGATCATAGAAATCTAGTGTTGTTACCTCCCTTACAAATGCATAATAAATTAGTGTCATGGGGATATGGTGTGTATCGTCGTACTAATGTGTATACTGATTGATTGTTGGTTGCTAAACGTTCAGTGGCAAATATCTCATGCATATTCAGGACGACCAATCTGTATAAAGAGGATTTATGTTTTTTACCATTCAAATGTGGAATGCTACAAAAATGTACTAGTGACATATTGACTCTAAAGATGTAGAATTTACAGTTTACAGGTAACAGGTATATCATTTTGTAAAAGAGAGGCGAAAGATATCAAAGGGATAATCACTTATAAGCCTAAGTCGAAACGAACAGACGACTTTACTTTCCTTATTGTTACGTAACTCTCCTTTTTTTGAACGGTGATGTTCCTTTGTCACGGTGATGTTTTTTTACCGAGCACGGAAATTTAGATACGATCCGGGTAAACTTATCAATCTTTTAAACAAACTTATTCTAAAAAATTACCGAATCAACTCTGTAATTAGATCTTTGAATATTTCATTAGTAATTTAAAAACCAAACTAAATATTATAACTATACACATATGCACACTCACGGTACTACAATCTGTCTATAAGTATATTTTGACATTGTACAAGGTCGTGTTTTTCTCCTACTGTTCATGACGTCTTTACACTAAATCCATTGGATGTTGGATGTGTACTGATTGATATTTTAGTCTTAGATACATGATTTATTTATAAGTTGTTTTTGGCTTTGAACTAGCTGCCAGTAACTGCAAGTACTCTCAGATCTGTACTTTGTGTCTTTTGTTTTGTGATGGATGTATAAATACCCTTCCACGTCCAGTCTGTGTTTTTGTTAGAAGTTTTTCTACTTTGTATCGATCTCACGAGTTAATCCCGTTTCAACTGGTTTTTATAGTTAGGAGCATGTAAGTCAGTGGTTGTCGTTGGTTCATGTCTGTCATATTTGTTTTTTTTTTGTAAATTGTTTTGTTATTAACTAGGCCGTTAGTTTTTATAAAACTGATTTGTTGCATATTTTTCATGTCGGGGACAGTTCTAGCCGACTATAGGGTACGGGTTTTCTCATTGTTGAATGCCGTACTGTTGCCTATAACTGCTTACGTCCACTTAATTTGAACTTTGGTTGATACGACATCTCATTATTTTTATATTTATAACCTTCATTTTCATATTTTTCTCTGAAGTACATGATGTTATCATTCACAAATCAGTCTGACAACTTTTAAAATAAAGTCCATAAATTTGGTAAAGATCAAATCATTTTAGGTAGGCGGTACAGGTAGCCTTTTCTTCGATTCCTCTGCCAATATCGTAGCTTGGATATGTATGATGGCTCGTTTCGAAGCTTAGATATTTTCACATATGTGGTCAAATATTCAGAGTAAGAAGTGAGATCCATGTTTCCGTAATTAAGCACACCCCGAAAAGCCTTTTGTGATGCGGCTTCTCAAAATAAAAAAATCCCTTTCTTCACAATAAAGTTCTTTGAAAAATTTAGTTCTTTGCATATATTTTATAACTCCATAGTTAATACATCTTTATACTATGGTCCTCTGCCCTCTATATTTCATGTATATGTTTAGGAGTTTAGTGTGACGTCCATTTTCACTGAACTAGTACACATTTTTGTTTAGGTTCCAGCTGAAGCCCGCCTCATGATTTACGATAGCGCAAAGCGTGTGATAAAACTCTTTAAAGAGTGGAATAATAACAAGTGGTAGATTGTGGAAGCAATTTCATTTAAATTAAAAAAAACAACATGTCTCTGAGGTGAAAGAATTTTAACGAGATAGTTATCTTTTCACTTAGATTGAATTACTATATTTACCCAATTGATAAATTCTGACAAATTAAAGATTTGATATGCAATACAAATTTGAGTATGTTTGCCACATTTCATTCTATACAACTTCTGTAAAGTTGGTTCTTGGCAATGCACAACATTGTGTCTTCCTTAACTATTGATCTCGTTGCTGTATGGAATCTTCTATGCAATGCAGCCATCGATATTAGAGTAATGGTATGATTGACAAAGCAGGTTACGAACAGTGTGTTTAATAAATAATGGTTATTTGTAAGGTTATTCTTGTCTTAAAACGCACATATGGGTGTCATGATTGATCAAAAGAAAAACCAACCGTAGGGTGGTCTTTCTTATGGCAATTCTGACACCATAGGTGTGTTATATGACAGGAAAAAACTTCAAATATGCATAATCTGACTTATATATCGTCAAAAAATTATATTTTCAGCTCAGATTTGCAGAAAATTGTATCCCATTTTACCGATTGTTACTTAACATAACAGTGAGATATTCTTTTCTTATCGTTTAGGTATAGCCACGCTCAACGGGTCAATTATAAGATGAAATAGAGAAATGAATTGTTAATGTGTATGACAAATACAATTCACTTGGTAAGTAATTTATTATATTATACTTTATAAAGGTGGGTGCTATGTTTTTTATTTAGTTTCATTACATTTTTACAACGAAAAATCAGATTTATTCTTTAAACAATTTTCAAAGAATTATTTATAATATTTGTTTTTTACTCTAATTTTTTTGGCAATAAAAAGTTGAGAATCGGCATATAATATGATAGCCCTTCCCCCTCCCAAATTACGCGGCTGTTCACATATATAAAATGAGAATATATGGAAAGGTGATAGTGTGAAAGATAAGGTATAAATAAATGTAAAAAATCCCGAACTAACACGAAGACAGCATAACATCGTAATGTATATGTTACACGAAAAACGGACGTCCAAAGGTCTTTGTACGATTAATCCAATACGGTTGTGTACTTCGGTTTTTTAATAATCCTACACATAAATATGATAAAATTTGGTTTCTTTAAAAAGTGTTATGACAAACTATGCATATTATTGAATTTATCTCAAATAATGTCTCTTTACTGTAGCGATAAATTAACAAAATTTCAGATTATTTGTTTCAAAAATTAAAATCACGATAGAAAGAGCTAAAGCTGTTGTCAAAATGCCTTTTAAAATTGCATATCTACACAGAATTATTAAATTGATAATAATAGTCAATGAGGTTAAGATAAAGAAAAGCAATTTACAAATTGGGGTCAATTTCTCCCCAGAATTTCACTCTTTTGTCTCAGGACTTAGGTTATCAGCGTCTTCGACTATAGACCTTAATAAATTTCTTACTTGTACTTTATAACGTAACCTGCTTTTTCTTCAAAAGCAGAGCATATGTTGTTTCTTTCGAAATGCATTTTTATTCATCAGAAGAAAGATGTGTTGCTTTCAGTCTTTCACTACGAGTTAAAAACATGATATATAAAAACGATGCTGGCCGGTAATTTCATTGTCCAGCACATTCGGTGATTTTAACGAAATGCATGGCTTTATACTTGCGAAGATGATCCATTTTTTATTTCCTCTAATCGTTTATTTGCAAAAGTTACGTAACTTATTTGGAATAGATACTTGGATGCCATGACCTAGCCAATAATTATGTATATTCATTCATATGAACAGCAGATATCGCATCTTGTATAACAAGATTATATTGTGTTCAAGTGTATGTGTATGTTAGAAGCTTTAATCTTTATTGTTCACAAACTAGTGGCCCATTGAATATGCAAATTTGTCAGGTGGGGACTAATCTCTGTTATAATATAACAGAATAATACACAGCTACCAAATTGAACATACATAAATGTAAAATACAAAAATACATCAGATATTTGCACCGCTTCGTTTAAGCAAAAAAGGAAACCTTCTCTCGTTCGGTATAATGCAGAGCATAATTCATATACATATAAATCAAAATTTTTTCGTCCTTATATACCTGAATAGAAGGTTCCAGATGAAACAAAATGTGAAAAATTAATAAGAGAAAAAACAAGTTTCTACTTTATATTACAATAATAACACGAATAAACAACAAACAAATATGGCAGACAGCAACTTAGAAATACATCTGGGTCACAAATTTCAGACTTTGAAAAACAAACACAGACTGTGTGAAACAAGTTTTGTTCTATAATTAAAATAGTTAGAGTTTGCAATTCACTTGTACACTATATGTTTACTATAAAAGGCAGATTTTCTTTTTTTGTGTAGTTGAATTTATTTTTTAATTTTAGTTTTATGCCATTTGAGATTCCTTGACTGGTAAACACAAATTTTAGTCTTCAATTTTTAATCTTGAAGTTGAAAACCCAGATTTAGATTGAATCAACAAAAATACAAGGAAATTTTTCCTCATACGTTGCAAATTTATGTGCAGTTATATCATTTTTGGGAAATGGCCATCGTTTCCTTTAGAGCTATCAAGCTCTTGAGTGAACTTTTAACTTTTTGTTCAAACTATGACAAAACTTGTTGATTTAGTGACAATGAAATCAAAATAATATATGAAAGAAGATCGGTTCTGTAAAAGGCGGACACTTCCAAGTACTTAGCCTTAATCAACGACGTCACAATTCTACGAACCGTTTGATCAAATAAATACATATGGCTTAACATGATTTTTTTATTGGAATCAAAATAACAAATACACGAACAATCAAATGTATATGTATATGCTATTCTTATAGATGGATACATAAATGCATGCATACCTTATGTAAGTTAAACCCAATTTGATTTTCAAATTATTGTAGGGAAAATGTAATTCAGAGGAATATGAACTATACAGCAACGTAAATCGTCTACATTCAGCCACAAAACAAAAATGTCCAGACAGACAATGATACAAGCAGTACATTAGAGCTGTACAAATGTTTTTTTTAAATTCCGCGAAACTTCATGAATGTTTTTGCGCATAAACGTTATGGCAAGACAAGACGTTATACAAATGAAAATTTCATTACTTCTACGATTCATGTTTCGATAATATCTCATTCAAACGACGTCTGTTGGTGAAGGTGTTGTTTTATTTTCCATTATATTGTATTTATCGAACATTTATGGATTCCAACAGTTCAATATGATAGGATTCTCCAGACATGCTAATTGTGGATTTGACGGTATATTTAGCCAATGAACAATTAATTTCACATACAGATTGAAATCGAATGCATATGTATTATTATCTTCAAGATATTTTTTGTTGCAGATGTTGTAAGTAAGACATTCGTATGAACAAAGATAGACATATGGATGGGTACCATATGTAAATGGGGTGCAAACTATGTATTAAACTACCAGTATGTTATATGGGGGAAACATAATTCATTGGAAAATGATTAATTTTTGCGAGAATTATACAGCTACTGAAATAATATAACGATACCCCACACTTTGTAGATTCTTACCCGAAGTGAGGAAACAAATGTCTTCAAGTAGTAAAAGGCGTAAATACAACGAAGTAAACACGAAAGACGAAACACCTCTACATTTAGCAGCCAAAAATAAAAACGTGGACGGACAAGAATACATTAAGAACTTATTGTCAAAGGGCTTAGACCCGAACGCCCGTAATAAGTGGGGTCAGACGCCACTTCACTATGCTGCCATTGCTGGTTGTTTACAAAATATTGAGACGTTGACTAAGACTTCTGGTATTGATGTCAATAACAGAGATATAAATGGATACAATGCTCTTCAGAGTATGGTTGCTGCAAATGGTGGTGAAAGTAACAATTCAATTAACTATTTGCATGCAATGGATAATTATGTTGAGATGCTTTTGTCTTCCGATAACCCAGACGATATTGAAATGCCAGAAACATTAAATGCTGATCTTAGAAAGTCTTTGCAAGCACTCGTCAACGCCGGAAGTGACGTGAACAATCAAACTACATTTGGACACGGTATCCTACATCTCATTGCTACGAGGGAGGACAACACGCCATTATTGAAGTTTTTTATTTCGAATTTTCCAGACATAAATTTAAACTTACTTAACAAAAAGAATGAAAACTTTTTGCATGTGTATGTTTCTAATGCACTTTTAGAAGAGATTATCGATTTGCTTGAATGGATTGAAATGCATGATAATTTAAACTCTTGTTTGAGGGCGTTGTTATCCAGTACAGATGTTATGGGAAGAACGCCGTGGAATTTAATGATTGTCGGTGATGGTTTCTACTATACATCAGCTGCTGATCTTCGCAAAATCTTTAGCTTTGGTGTGTCTCCTGAAGGCAATGATAACTTGGGAAACACAATTTTGCATCGGATTTGTGGTGTTTCACATGGAGATGCGTACGTAGATGTACTAGAACATCTGCTCAAAATTGGTGCTAATATAAATGCACAAAACATATATGGAGAACCAGTTTTATCGCTGACGTTAAGTGAACAAATTTTAGAGACTTTCTTAAAGTTCAATGCAGATTGCAGCATTACAGATAAATGGGGTCGAAGTTCGTTGGTTTCTATAATGAAATATCGACCACTTCCAGATTTACTCAGAACATTTATTGTAAAAGGGACAATAAATGTAAACAATAGAGACATATACGGATCTACGGCTCTGCATTTTGCAGCGTATCATAATTATGTAGAACAAATAGAGATATTGTTAAAATATGGTGCAGATATAAATGCTTGCGATAACATCCAGGAAAGACCTCTGGACACAGCGAAGAGACACAGAAGTTTTCGTTGCATTGCTCTATTGAAAATGGCAGACATAACATTTATAGGACACACCATGTCATTTACTCAACTAACATTGGTAGGAAATAAGACATTCGAAGAGATTCTTCAAGAACTACCGGAGACGATAATATCGTCGTGTATCCAATCATCACAAGATATTCAGAAAATACTGCATTTACCGTTGAATTTAAAAGACTTTCTGAACTATCTTCTTGAGTCGTATTATACAAGAAGTCCAAGCTGCTGCCCTGAAGTAGAATCTGTTACATGCGATGTTAATAATCTTGTCACGTCGCTTTGCACGCAAATTCGTAAATACGATTCTCGATTTGAAATGTCAGTTTTACTATCTGGAAGTATGGCTGAAGGAACAAAAATTGGCCGTCCAGATGAATTTGATTTTATTTTATGTCTTGATAAGTTAAATGATATCACTGACATTGTGATGACAGAAGACCTTATAAAGACAGGTTTCGCTTCTCTAAAATTTAAAAATACTCAAGATTTTGACGAATACTTGCAGTTTACTGATGCTGACGGTTTTTTCTTGCCAAAATTGTATTTGCAGTTATTCTACCATTATTTGCAGAGAGCACTGAATGAACCTCATTTGTGGAAAGAAGGGAATTTCTATTTTAATGTTGAAAATAGATTTGGGAAAGTTTTCGGCAAACCAGTGTTTACTTTTGATGTATATTGGTTGGGTTCTATTTACAAACAATTAAGAATCAGCATAGACCTTGTTCCTGCAGTTTACAAAAGAGGATGGTGGCCACCAAATATTGATGTTGATAACATACCTCTCATCAATACTGACATCAAATCAGCTGGATGTTTTCTAACTCTGCAAACCAAGACACAACATTTCGCTCCGAACGACTGGGACTGTATAAGCCGAACATGTAACAACGAAGATAACGCAGAACTAACTGAAAAAAAGATGTTGCGGATTTCCGCTGCTCCTGCAGAGATATGCCTCATGAAGTCATTGCCAAATGAATTTCGAAAAGCTTATATCCTTGCAAAAGTATTAAAAACCATATGTCCTGAAATTGATATTGAAACAAAACAATACAATTTGGAGGAAGAAGACAGCGAATATGCAGAACCGCGTAGGACAAACCCATCTAAACTGATTAAAAGCTACATGTTAAAAAATAGTGCATTTTATGTTCTAGAGGGACTTAAAATAAAGCACCGTTCAGAAGATGGATTTGATGTATTTGATATTTCTGCGAAGATGTACAGTTTTCTTCTTCAATTTGTCGGTGGTCAGCAAATGCGCATGCGTCCATATTTTCTGTCACGTGACATCAATGTTTTCGAAAATTCAAAGAAACTATCCTTTAACAAAGCATTCATTCTTCATTTGCAACGGGAATTTAGCATGAAGCTTGTACTGGGTATAATGAATGAACAATTTTCAAGGGAATGTTTGACTGCAAAAATGTAAAATTTAAGCAATTAAAATCATGCGTATTGTTTATCATGTTTTTTCATTGGTTTTTGTTTCTATTTTCTGTAGTTTTTGCTTCATTAAACTTTTGGCTGTCTCTTTTGATAAAGCCGAAATTTTTTGGCGTTCACACTCGCGCAGATTTAATGGGGTCATACTTTAAAGTGAGAACTTTTGCGAGGGGATCATTTGTGCTTATTTTGCGAAGATGAAACATATACCGTTGCGAAAAGTTTAGACAAGACAACATCGAAAAAAATATGCTTTTAGGTTTTGCCTTTGAAATCGATAATTCTTCTCTCCGTGATATAAAATACTTAACAGTTTTTGTAGCAATAAATACACCACGAAACTGCGAGTAGAACTTTGCATCTGCATAAAGATGATTAGACACATCCCGTAATTTATAATCTAAATGTAACAATATTTTTGAACCAATACACTCTTAAAAAGATTTTGTATAAAAGGCCTCAGCTGTCATATATTATAGACTTACAAAACGTTATGTCAAAGGTTTAAATTTAAAGTTAAGACTTCGTAACGATGAGTCGAGTAATCAAATTTCTAACTTTAAATTATCATATACTGAGTTCAATTCATATTGTGTTGACTTCCAATTGCTTGAGTTTAAGTTGTGAAAAAATTATGATAAACGGAGGTTTTCTGAAGATATGCTTATTACGTTTTACCTTTTTCATGATGTTAAGTTGACATTACAGATGCTAACTTGTAATTTAAAAATGCGTAGTCATCAACTTCGAATACTACGGTAACAAATAAAATGAAGAGCTTAAACTGTACGATGTGGACTTGTTAGAAATAAATGTTATGGTTAAGTAAGCACGAGGATATATCAGTATAATGTAACGCTAAGCCTTTCATACAAAAGGTCGACTTAAAGCGACAGGTGTATAGTTGAAAGTTCATACTGTAAAAATAAGACAGCACGATTTCATATCACAATAATAACAAGGTTGGCGAGTTAGACAATGCGTTGCCTTTTACGACATGATGTGAAGTTGAAAGTGCATGATGTTAAGCTATGACAGCACGAGGTTAAATCACCATAATAAAAATGAAGGGGAGTCATACAATGCGTTGACTAAAAACGGCAGGATGTACAGTTGAAATTGTCGGATATGAAGCTAGGATTGCACTATTTTATATTAACATCATGTCACTATAGGCTTATTTTACGTTACGTTGATTTGAAACTACACGATGCAAGATTGAAAGTTGATTATGTAGATATAAGGCAGCAAATTTTTTAGTATGATACGACTGATTATAAATTTTTATATCGTTATATTCAGATTAAATGAGAAAAGTGAAAACATTAAAATGCAGAGTTGAATTTCAGAAAAAAATGCATTATAAACAGTTCGATGTTCAGTTTAGAAACGACACTTTAACGTTGATATTTAACAATTCGAGGATAAAATAACAATATGAGGACTTGGAGTAGTTTGGTCCTTACTAGGAACAGTTACACGTAGAATCCAATGAAAATAATCACAGGATCAGACTCGTTTGTGCTGAATGGGTGCATTGCTGTGTTGATTTCGAAAATAATGCTTAGTTTTGATCGTATTATGATAAATTGAAAGGGCACAATGAGGCGACAACATTAGACTACTATGTGAATTGAGACCACAATTCTATGAAATAAAGTGAAAGGCAATATTTCATGAATTTGATTCATTCATGTGTTCAAAATCCGAAAGTTGACAAATGCTTACGAAAATTTGTTTTTCTAGTTGTATATATTGTATTTTAGAAACTGTGTATATCGGATGTTTCATTTTAAACAACCTATGTTATTTTACATCTGAAGCAATCAAAAATTGACCCCTTCAGACAAAGAGTAGACATACAGTTGCACAAGTTGAATAAACCTTTATGTTCTTACACAGCTTTGAGTCAGTACCTTCAGGTCAGACGTCCAAAAGGGTTGTTTGGAAAATCTTTAGCTTTGGTGTGTCTCCTGAAGGTAATGATAACTTGGGAAACACAATGTTGCATCGGATCTGTGGTGTTTCACATGGAGATGCGTACGTAGATGTACTAGAACATCTGCTCAAAATTGGTGCTAATATAATGCACAAAACATATATTGAAGAACCAGTTTTATCGCTGACGTTAAGTGAACAAATTTTACAGACTTTCTTAAAGTTCAATGCAGATTGCAGCATTACAGATAAATGGGGTCGAAGTTCGTTGGTTTCTATAATGAAATATCGACCACTTCCAGATTTACTCAGAACATTTATTGTAAAAGGGACAATAAATGTAAACAATAGAGACATATACGGATCTACGGCTCTGCATTTTGCAGCGTATCATAATTATGAAGAACAAATAGAGATATTGTTAAAATATGGTGCAGATATAAATGCTTGCGATAACATCCAGGAAAGACCTCTGGACACAGCGAAGAGACACAGAAGTTTTCGTTGCATTGCCCTATTGAAAATGGCAGACATAACATTTATAGGACACACCATGTCATTTACTCATCTAACATTGGTAGGAAATAAGACATTCGAAGAGATTCTTCAAGAACTACCGGAGACGATAATATCGTTGTGTATCCAATCATCACAAGATATTCAGAAAATACTGCATTTACCGTTGAATTTAAAAGACTTTCTGAACTATCTTCTTGAGTCGTATTATACAAGAAGTCCAAGCTGCTGCCCTGAAGTAGAATCTGTTACATGCGATGTTAATAATCTTGTCACGTCGCTTTGCACGCAAATTCGTAAATACGATTCTCGATTTGAAATGTCAGTTTTACCATCTGGAAGTATGGCTGAAGGAACAAAAAATTGGCCGTCCAGATGAATTTGATTTTATTTTATGTCTTGATAAGTTAAATGATATCACTGACATTGTAATGACAGAAGACTTTATAAAGACAGGTTTCGCTTCTCTAAAATTTAAAAATACTCAAGATTTTGACGAATACTTGCAGTTTACTGATGCTGACGGTTTTTTCTTGCCAAAATTGTATTTGCAGTTATTCTTCCATTATTTGCAGAGAGCACTGAATGAACCTCATTTGTGGAAAGAAGGGAATTTCTATTTTAATGTTGAAAATAGATTTGGGAAAGTTTTCGGCAAACCAGTGTTTACTTTTGATGTATATCAATGTATATTGGTTGGGTTCTATTTACAAACAATTAAGAATTAGCATAGACCTTGTTCCTGCAGTTTACAAAAGAGGATGGTGGCCACCAAATATTGATGTTGATAACATACCTCTCATCAATACTGACATCAAATCAGCTGGATGTTTTCTAACTCTGCAAACCAAGACACAACATTTCGCTCCGAACGACTGGGACTGTATAAGCCGAACATGTAACAACGAAGATAACGCAGAACTAACTGAAAAAAAGATGTTGCGGATTTCTGCTGCTCCTGCAGAGATATGCCTCATGACGTCATTGCCAAATAAATTTCGAAAAGCTTATATCCTTGCAAAAGTATTAAAAAACATATGTCCTGAAATTGATATTGAAACAAAACAATACAATTTGGAGGAAGAAGACAGCGAATATGCAGAACCGCGTAGGACAAACCCATCTAAACTGATTAAAAGCTACATGTTAAAAAATAGTGCATTTTATGTTCTAGAGGGACTTAAAATAAAGCACCAATCAGAAGATGAATTTGATGTATTTGATATTTCTGCGAAGATGTACAGTTTTCTTCTTCAATTTGTCGGTGGTCAGCAAATGCGCATGCGTCCATATTTTCTGTCACGTGACATCAATGTTTTCGAAAATTCAAAGAAACTATCCTTTAACAAAGCATTCATTCTTCATTTGCAACGGGAATTTAGCATGAAGCTTGTACTGGGTATAATGAATGAACAATTTTCAAGGGAATGTTTGACTGCAAAAATGTAAAATTTAAGCAATTAAAATCATGCGTATTCTTTATTATGTTTTTTCATTGGTTTTTGTTTCTATTTTCTGTAGTTTTTGCTTCATTAAACTTTTGGCTGTCTCTTTTGATAAAGCCGAAATGTTTTGGCGTTCACACTCGCGCAGATTTAATGGGGTCATACTTTAAAGTGAGAACTTTTGCGAGGGGATCATTTGAGCTTATTTTGCGAAGAAGAAACATATACCGTTGCGTAAAGTTTAGACAAGACAACATCGAAAAATATATGCTTTAAGGTTTTGCCTTTGAAATCTATAATTTTTCTCTCCGTGATATGAAATACTTAACAGTTTTTGTAGCAATAAATACACCACGAAACTGCGAGTAGAACTTTGCATCTGCATAAAGATGATTAGACACATCCCGTAATTAATAATCTAAATGTAACAATATGTTTGAACCAATACACTCTTAAAAAGATTTTGTATAAAAGGCCTCAGCTGTCATATATTATAGACTTACAAAACGTTATGTCAAAGGTTTAAATTTAAAGTTAAGACTTCGTAACGATGAATCGAGTAATCAAATTTCTAACTTTAAATTATCATATACTGAGTTCAATTCATAATGTGTTGACTTCCAATTGCTTGAGTTTAAGTTGTGAAAACATTTTGATAAGCGACGGTTTTCTGAAGAAATGCTTATTACGTTTTACCTTTTTCATGATGTTAAGTTGACATTACAGGTGCTAACTACGGTAACAAATAAAATGAAGAGCTTAAACTGTACGATGTGAACTTGTTAGAAATAAATGTTATGGTTAAGTAAGCACGAGGATATATCAGTATAATGTAACGCTAAGCCTATCATACAAAAGGTCGACTTAAAGCGACAGGTGTATAGTTGAAAGTTCATACTGTAAAACTAAGACAGCACGATTTCATATCACAATAATAACACGGTTGGCGAGTTAGACAATGCGTTGCCTTTCGCGGCATGATGTGCAGTTGAAAGTGCATGATGTTAAGCTATGACAGCAAGAGGTTAAATCACCATAATAAAAGAGAAGGGGAGTCATACAATGCGTTGACTTAAAACGGCAGGATGTACAGTTGAAATTGTCGGATATGAAGCTAG